AGTCACAGAAAGAAGACCATGATGTTCTATCAGACATCCACAGCCAAGGATCCCACCAGATGCTTCCTGCTCTTGTCACTTCCATGCATTGATTTGCTCACACCCAAGAGGACAGCAGGGAAGGAAAAGGAAAGGACAGACACCCAGCACACCTTTACTTTCCACAGTGAGGAAGCTAAGAGGTAGAAAGCAGCTATGTATAGAAGGGAAGGAAAAAACGGACAGGTTTGGTTTCTACAGTGTTTCCTCTGGACTGGAAAAAAAAATGCACATGCATGTACATGGTACAAAATTGTGTAATTTCATGAGCCTGTCTGCTCCTGGTTGAAGCCTAACCTGGCTATTTAATTCTGTGTACATAATTGTGTACAAGCTATGCATTGTGTCATTTCTGGGATTCCACAAATGAATTAAATGAACTGTGTTTCAAGCTGGTGTTGCACAGCATAAAAATGTATACTAAAACTCATGCTAACCGTTTCCATTTTTACATTTCTTATTGTAACATAAAACAAAAGTGCATAGGCCAAAAGAGAGGCAGTGGGACAAAGGAGAAATACTTTCTACTTTAGTGATTCAGTGATACTGCTTTTTGTGCCAGGAGCTGCCTAGAAAATTAGGTAGCCAGTCCTGATACCCAGCATGATGCTGGATCCTGAGGCCACAGGACAGAAAGCAGAGACTGTAGCCAAAGAGCTCATTTTTCTTGTCTTATCCATTTGTGAAATGTCCCAGCCCTTCAAACAAATTAGATTTTTTTTCTTTTCTTTTCTTATATAATTTTTTCAGTTATGAGTCTTGAATTCAGGCCTGGGCCCTGTCCCTGAGCTTTTCTACTCAAGGCCAATGCTCTACCACTTTCAGACACAGCTCCACTTCCAGTTTTCTGGTGGTTAACTAGAGATAAGAGTCACAGACTTTCCACCAAGGGCTGGCTTTAGACTGTGATCCTCAGATCGCAAATAAACTATTTTAAAGGAGTGGAGTAGTACTAAGGGTCTAACTCATAGAGTCACTGGAAATTGAATGAGGCAGTCCAAAACAAAATAAGTAAATAAAGGTACATCCTTTAGCAGAACTATTCTAACGGTTAATATTGTTGCTTTTTCTTTGGTCGGTCGTGGGTTTGAACTCTGGGCTTGGGTGCTGTCCCTTTGCTCTTCAGCTCAAGGCGAGTGCTCTACCACTTGAGCCACAGCACCACTTCCGGTTTTCCAGTGTTTTATTGGAGATAAGAGTCTCACAGACTTTCCTGCCTGGGCTGGCTTTGAGCCGTGATCCTCAGATCTCAGCCCCCTGAGTAGCTAGGATTACAGGCATGAGCCACCAGTGCTCAGCCTTGCTGTTTTTAATTGCATAATATTATTAATTACATATTATTACTAATTACAGGTGGAACATCCCTAATCCAAACATCTGGATAAAACTTGAGATACTCCAAACTCTGAGACTTAGAACTGACATAACAAAGCCAAAAATGCCACACCATGCAACTTTACTGCAGAAACGAAATGATTTAAAATATTGCACAAAATTACCTCCAGTTTATGTTTAGAAGGTATGTTATTTTTTTGTTTAGACTTTCATCATATCACTAATATACCTTACAGATATCCAAATATTCCACATACTAGGGGGAACAATCCAAAATCCAAAAAGTATAGTTTCCTACAATAAAACCCAAATGTATTTTTTTCCAAATGTATTATAGTTACTGAGAAATGATTCCCAAGGGACTAGGACAAGGGCCGGTGGGGAGGAGGGAGGAGAAAGAGCATAAGATTTTATACCCATGGGTAAACTGAATCTCCATAACATCTGCCCTTTTGCATTAGGCAGTCCAGGAGGAATAGGGAAGGAAGCCTCGCTGACTCGGTGGCTCTCCAGTCATCCCAAGGTTGCTGCAAGGAAATTCTCCCACTCTGTGGCAAAGGGGAAAGGGAGATGCCCAAGACATGAGGGTACCAAGACTTTTAAAAAGGAGAGTGATGTGTAATATCCAGTATGGAGCTGTTTGCATTGCTGAGAGGGAAGGTCTCTCCTTTGCCCGTAAATCTCTAATAAAAGTCACCCCCAGAGACCAAGGCACTGTGTGTCCTGTGAGTAGGATTTTGGCACCATGATGAATGACTCTGTCTTTTTTTTAACATCTCCCAATGTGTCTGGCACTTAGTAAGAAGTTGATGATGCTCTAATACAAAAGGAAGGAAAAACAGAAGAAATGTTTAAAGAACAGAGCAGAAAAGAGAGAGGTATGGCCTGAGGTATGCTCCAACTATCACATTGGGTACAACTCAGAGAGACAGGCTATTTCCATGAGGGTGCATCAAGAGGGTGCAGAACAGAGAAATGAAGCCAGGCTTCTGCTCATTTATATGTGGAGACAGCTTATAAATAGATGCTGCCACCACCCTAAAACCTCAAAGCACCCAGAAGCAAGGATTATGTCAGATTAGCTTCCATTCAAGATGCAATGGGCCAAACTGGGGTCTGAACTCCTCTATGGTTTCTCAACCAGCCCCACAGAGATCTGCGAGTTCAGCTGTCTTGGTGCTGGTCTAAGCAAACAGAGCCAGAGGCAGTCCGTTGCCACATGCTTCACCACAACACCCGCCAAGGCTCATTCCTGACTCACACCACTCACTGTTTCATAAGAGGGGGCAGCTCTGTTCCTCTCCCTGTGTCACCACAATAATTACTGGGAACAATAATTTGAACAATGAGAACTTATAATTCTCTAGCAACAGGCAAAAGTAGTATCATTTACTGAAAAATAATCTCCTGAGTTTTGGGTAACCGAAACCATGATGTACTGCTTTGGTTTGGGGCAGGCAGGAGATGTGGCTCTGAGTGAGATTGGAATCATTCATTCATTCATTCATTCATTCAGTATATACTAATAGTGACATGGTGGGTAGTATAGACAGGAGTGCCTACGTTCTGAAGGAGGGCCTGCCAGAGAAATAACCATTTAATGCTGGGCATTGGGACCATGGTAACACATGTCACAGCTATCCAAGATCACCCTCCCTACCATCTTTGAGGGATCACAGACAAGAGTTTAAGTCTAAAGCCAGGAACCTAGAAATCCCACACACAGGACACAGGGGTCAGATGTGAGGTTCATGAGGGGTCCAGGAAGAACCGAGATCCAACAGGACAGAGGAGGGAGACACAATTCGTCTATGACAATTCACAGGCCTTCCAGTGGCCTCGTTTGAACTAGCCTATCATCCGATGTCTTGTCTGCCCTTCAAGTGCCTTGTGGTCCTCTGGTCAAGCATGGACCTAGGACTTAATTCCACCTTGCACTAGGGGCACAAAGCCTGTAAGACGGTGGTGGCCTTCTCCTGGCCCAAAAACAAGAGGGCCACAAGTTTTCCTCATCATAGCTCTGTCACCCTGTATGCTTTGTCCCAGAATCTGGAGTCCATGAGTCTGTTGGCCACTACCATCTCTCCAAACCTACAGTCACCCTGGAACCCAGAAAGTCTGACTGGAGGTGATTTCTTTCCCAGCTGTTGGCAGGTGTTTTGGAAATCTCTTCTCTGAGGGAAGCAAATGATCCTGAGATAACTCGGCTTTCTTGAGGTATGACTGACAAAAATTGTCCATCTATAAGGAAATTAAGTCTCCCCTTAAGACACTTTTCTTACCTGTGTGTTCTTGGGCAAGTTATCTAACCACTCTGAGCCTCAGTTTCTTCATATATTAAAAAAGAAGGAGGAGAGGAGGAAGAGAAGGAAGAAAAGGAGGAGAAGAAGGAGAAGAGGAAGAGGAAGAAGGAAAGAAGAGAAGGAAGAGCAGGAAGAGCATCAGTGGCTCATGCTAATCCTACTTACTCAGGAGGTTGAGATCTTAGGATCACAGTTCCAAGCCAGTCTGAGCAGGGAAGTCTGTGAGACTCTTTTCTCCAATTAACCAGCACACAAAAAAAGCTGGAAATGGAGCTATGGCTTAAGTGGTAGAATGATAGTAGAGCCCAGGCCCTGAATTCAAGCCCCAGGAATAGCACAAAAGAAAAAAATTAAATCAAAAAGAAAATCGATGGGGGTTGGGAAGGTAGCCCAGTGGTAGAGTGCTTGCCTTGCATGCATGAAGCCCTGGTTTCAATTCCTCAGCACCACATAAGCAGAAAAAGCCAGAAGTGGTGCTGTGGCTCAAGTGGTAGAGCTGAAGAGCTGAGGGACAGTGCCTAGGCCCAGAGTTCAAGCCCCATGATCAACAAAAAATAAATAGACAAGCCAGATGCTGGTAACTTACACCTTGTAATCCTAGCTACTTGGGAAGCTGAGATCTAAGGATCATAGTCTGAAGCCAGCCCAGGCAGACAAAACCAAGACACTCCCATCTCCAATTAACCATTTTTTTTTTAAAGCTGGAAATGGAGGAGGTATGGCTCAAGTGATAGAGCACCAGCCATGATCAGAAAAAGCTAAGCAAGAGTGCAACGCTCTGAGTTCAAACCCCAGCACTGACATGCCTTTCCAGGCTGTGGTGTCAACTAGAGGACACGGATATCATACCCCCTCTACCCCCCACCTTCCCACTCCCACCATCCCACATGAATATACACACACAAGGAGCTCAATAATCATGGCCTCTGGGTGCTCAGGACCTGAAAGGCCTCCTCCTTCTCTCCTTCTCCTAGGAAGCTGAATAAACACAGCTAGCTTGTCAAAGTCAGGGGACAGAGGAGAGAGAGTGACTTCCTCCTCCAACCAATCCTGTCTGAACTGGCAAAGCCTTCCAGCTCCCCGCTCCCTGCCTTCCTCCCTCCCTTCCTCCTCCTACCTGTCTCCTGCCTTCCTACTCTTCCTGGGGACACACATAACATTCACATCCTAAGATTTTGGAAGGCTGCCCACCCCTCCTCTGTGGGCATTTCAGGTAAGAGCCACTCCACCCAGAGTCCAGCTCAAAGCCACCTCTCCCCACCCCCAGGATCCCTCACTCCTTCATCCTTCCTGACAGTTGTCTGGACTCCTCTGAACACATACCTCCTTCTGCGTGGCCTGTGACATAGGAGAAGCTCATAGAGGAACTCCTGTGTGGAGCAAGCACATGGGAAGTTCTTTGTTATCCTCCTTCCTCATCCACCTCCCATGCCACACACCTTCCCCAGGTCCTGCCCCTTGGGGTTGGGTTGGGTTGCGGGGCCTGCATTAGGAGGCTTGCTTCCCTCTGCCTTTCTATCCCGCTCAGCTAATGAGGAAAGAGGCTCACCCACAGGACAAGGGACAGACGGAAGGAGAGTCTGGGTAGGGTTAGGGTACATTTTCCTTACAGGTTTCTCTGTGTGGCTGCTAAGCACTGAAGCCACGTTTTCCTCAGACTTCCTCCCCACCCCCCAGCCACACATGCACCCCACTCTCTCCCTTTCTACAACTCTTAGCCCTTTCTACCCACTTCTGCTCCTCTACCTCTGTAGTTAATTTTTCAAATTATCCCAAAATTTTTCAACTTTTCTTATCAGGCTCTTGATCAAGACACCTGGTTTTTTGTTTGTTTTGTTTTTATAAATGGAGATTTCAATTTTTTATTATCTTTAAGTAGCTGTAGAAAGAAGTTCCCATTCTACAAAACAGTATATGAATACAAAGGAAACACCTGTTCTGTTTAGTTAGAAGTCATAGGTGAGCCCAGTTTCCTGAGATTCTTCTGGATATAATTTATTTTTAAGACTATCTCAAGTACAGGTAACTTTCCTTTTTCTTTATCTTTTATGCTTGTCCTGGTACTTGAACTCAGGGTCTGCACTGTCTCTGAGCTTTACTCAAGGCTAACACTCTACCACCTGAGCCAAAGCTCTACTTCCAGTTTTTGGGTGATTAATTGAAGATTAAGAGTCTCATGGACTTTCTTGCCACAGCCGGCTTGAAACCTCGATCCTCAGATCTTAACCTCCTGAGTAGCTAGGATTACAGTGAGCTACCAACACCCAGCCAGATAAATTCTTAAGGGTTTTTATTAATAGGAAGTTCAATATCTGTACAAATTTAAATACCCATCCTAGAGGCTCCCTGAGAATAGGTCAGAGAGCCCTGAGACCCCGAGGGAAAAGTTAGACCTGTTGCCATGAATTCCCTGAAGACAAGGGCCCTGAGGGAGAGGTGGCTGAGGGGAGACTGGGAGGCTGTGGCCTTGGGGTAGGGACAGGGACAGGCCACCCTGTGGCCAAGCCTCAGGAGAAGAGAATTCTTTTGCCCCCTCCTCAAAGCCTCCACACTTCTCAGAGAATGGAGAATCTGCCCTCTTCAGAACAGTGAGCGGCACGGGGGCGATACCCAAGCCCAGGTTGCTCTGGACAGCAGTGGCAGATGGCTGTGTGGGAGAGCAGCTCACTGAATGACAGAGGCCGCTTAGCCCAGACCTTGACAAATAGCAGCTGTGGACCAGATTTTATTTGACTTAAAAAAAAGAAAAGAAATAAGACATTTCTTGAACCTCATGGCTGCTCACCACTGCCCCTCCAGTCTCCCAGGGGAGGCTGGAGACGGTGGCTACAAGAGAAGGAAGACTAGACTCCCAGCATCCTGCACAGTGAGAGGCGAGTAGCATTTGGAGGCCCTGTGTTCGCCTTCTGTCTCCAGTGGGGTTCAGACTAAGCAGAATTCAGATCATACAGAGGGAGGTGGTATCCTAGGGACAGGGGCACATGGTCTCCTGAGGCTGCACGGAGCAGAACTGAGAACAAACAACAACATATGTCAGTTCAGTTACTATTATTTGAGGCCCTGGGAGAGACTGCCATGAAGCTAATGTTACATGTGAGATGTATAAAGTGTCATTACCAACCACAGGAAAATCTCCAAATGAAAGAAGGATGTATTCCCCAAACCAATAAATAAGTGTTAGAGTAAGGAAATATCCCAATTATTTAAAAAAAAAAAGCCAATGCCACGCTTAAGTTTCATCTGGTAGAGAAGCGATATTGAGCCAAGTTCATTGGAGAAGAAAATGGACCTGTAGGGAAAATGATACTTTCGTCTCCTCGTGATTAACAAACATTTACTGAAGGCCAGAAAATAAACAAGGAGCTCTAACACAAGGCAGAGAGAAATGCCAGCTAAGAGTGGTCCAGCCAGGCACTTGTAGCTCACATCTGTAACCCTAGCTACTCAGGAGTCTGAGATCTGAGGATCATGATTCAAAGCCAGCCTGGGCAGGAAAGTCCATGAGAATCTTATCTCCAATCAACTACCAGAAAGCCAGAAATAGCACTGTGGCTCAAAGTGGTAGAATGCTAGCTTTGAGCCAAAAGAGCTTAGAGTAGCACCCAGGCCCTTAGTTCAAGCCCCAGCCCTAACAAAAAAAAAAGAGTGGTTCAGAAAGATTCTGCCCTATACAAAGATGAAAATGGGTGTGTGGCCACTTGTTGGAATGTACCTTTCTCTGATGTCAGAGATTGGGTCTTTTGCCATGTGCACATAGTTGCATCAGTCAGCTTTCTGTTACTGTGACAAAATTCCCAGGACAATTGAGTTAAAAGGAAGAAAGGTTGGGGCTGGGAAGGTGGCTCAGTGGTAGAGTGCTTGCCTTGCATGCATGAGGCCCTGGGTTCGATTCCTCAGCACCACATAAGCAAAAAGAAAAAAGCCGGAAGTGGTGCTGTGGCTCAAGTGGTAGAGCGCTCGCCTTGAGCTGAAGAGCTGAGGGACAGTGCCCAGGCCCAGAGTTCAGGCCCTAGGACCAGACCCCCCCAAAAAAAAGGAAGAAAGGTTTATCTAGTTCCTGGTTTCATGCTTGGGACATGTAATGGTACATCATGGAGAGGTGTGTCAGAAGAGCTGGGTCACCTCATGGCAGCCCAATGCAAAAGAGAGAGACCATAAGAGCCCAACATCTCCTTCATAGTCGCCCCCCCCCCCCCCCCGCCATGATCTAATTACCTTCCACTAGGCTCCACCTCTAGACTGGGGACCAACCATGCAGCTCATGGTCTTTGTAGGGGAGACACTCAAGATCAAGACTGTAACACTCTTGAATGACTCTGCCTCTCCATGGTTTGCTGCCCTATGCTGCCTACCCATGTCAAACTCAGATCCCAACTTGTGCTGTTTTAGAAAAGCCAGACAACGTCTGGATCACAGAGACCAGTGAGAGAGTAAAGACAAGAGGAGGGGTGGAAAAAATGATCAGGTCCATGAAGAGGCACAGAGGAGAAGCCCAGTGAAGCTGGGTAGCGTGAGGGAAGGAGGCCTCGGTGCCCCCAGGTGTTTGTCAGGGGAGCTGGGTGAGAAAGTTCACCTCAACCCCTACATCCTCCTCAGACACCTGGAGGCTGAAACAGTCACTTGTGGGTTGGACCAATTGTTATTTTCTTTTCCTGCCCAAGATCTGAATGCCTTGTTGCTTTTCCAAAGGCCCACCAGCTTTGACCTCAGATAAGAGCATGTGTCCTGGCTGATTGAAAATCTAGAAGTGGAGCACATGGCCTCCATGTCCCCTCCTTTTTTTGAGTTCTTTCGGTGCCCTTGGCACAGCCCACAGTTTTCCTACACAGACGTCCGTCATCTGTACCATCAGAGACCTCCTGGCAGCTAGCAACAGCCTCTATTATTTCAATGGATAATTTATACGGCCCATTTTCACTGCCAAGGACAGCCCACAAAGCACACTTGATCCTGGGCAAGAAGACAGCCAGCATGGCCTTCTGGGAGGTACGCTCTCCACCTCCGGCCATGGGCAACTTTTCCAAAGTCCTCTACTTTACTAGGCCAGGAACAATGGGACCTCAGAATACTAGGACATCACCACAATTTCAAGGCTGCTCTCTGAAGCAGTAGCACAAATGCGCTTAGACACCCAAGATGGTTTCCAGGTGAGCAGCATGACGGGCCAGGCTCAGGGCTCCTGATTAGAAACCTGGGTTCCATCTCTTGAATATTGTCTCCTATCTAGGGCTTTACTCATACCACCCTAATTCTCTGCACTTCAGCCAGCTCACCTGAAAAGCACAAATGCATTTGCTCCTGCATATATATATATTTTTAAAGGCATAATTTTTAGGGAGCTGATAGCTCACACTTGTAATCCTAGCTACTCAGGAGGCTGAGATCTGAGGATCATGATTCAAAACCAGTCTGTGAGATTCTTATTTCAAAAATGGAGTTGTGGCTCAAGTGGTAGAGTGCCAGCCTTGAACAAAAGAGCTCAGGGACAAGACCTAGGCCCAGAGTTCAACCCTAGGCAGGACTGGTACATGTGTGCGTGCATGCGCTTGCACACACACACACACACACACACACACACACAGCATAGCACAGCACAGCACCATTTTTCTGCTACACAGATTGCTCTATGTACCATTGCACTGGCATTACAGAAGAACTTGTTGGAGGTGAAGAATAACAGAGGCCTCCCAGATCTCTTGATTTAAAGATAAGTGTGGTGCTCCCTCCTCTTTGACTACACTAGGGACTGAACTCAGGGCCTTGTACTTGCTAGGCAAGTGCCTTAGCACTTGAGCCACAACCCCAGTCCTGCTTATTGTTTGTTTTGCAGGGCTCAGACTACAATCCTCCTCCGGTGTCTTCCTAAGTAACTGAGATTACAGGTGTGTGCCATCACACCCCATCACAGAATCTGCTTTTTAACTAGACCCTCCCCTCCCCCAACAATTTAATGTGAGAAGCACTGCAGCATTTACTTGGAAGTGGCTATGAGGCAAGAACTTGTGGTTGGAGCCTTGAGCTCTTAGTTTGAATTCAGCTCTACCACAGAAGGCATTCATGACCTGGGGCAGGGGTTGCTGGAGTTTCCAATTCCTCCATCAGAAAACAATGTGGGGCTGATGTAGTCTGAGAGTACAGAATGGGAAGGAGAGAGCAGGCTGGGGTGGGGTAGGTGGCAGGGAGCCCTTTCCCAGTGGGGTGAAGGGAAAGTAGGGTCCCGGAGTGGACTGTGGCCAGGTAGGAAACAGAGAAGGAGATAAGATGGGGTGGGAGGAAGGAGATTGGTGCTTCCTTCTGCCAGCCCCATTCTCCTCCACGCAACCCCTCTGTCACTAAAGCCCCTGGGAAACTGTATGTGGGCCAAGGCACAGCAAATACTCAGCTCTCAGACCTCCAAGATGGCACCAAGAGAAGGAAGGCATTCGATCTGCCCCATGCCACACTGTCCCTGAGTGGTACCTGGGGACCGGGACTGGGGTCAGTGAGCAAAGGGGGGGTACACCACAGTGAGCACAGAACAGGCCTGGCAGGCTGTCTCCCAGACACGTGGCCTGCACCTGTGGTACGTCAGGGGTTCACTGTGCTGGCTTTTCTACACATCAAGCCCCTGGTTGGGACCCGGAAGGCGAGGGGCTTTAACCTGCATTTCCAAATTCTCCAGCACTGCCAGCAAATGACTCCTCTCAGGCACTCAAGGCATTGTGCAGAGAGAGGGACTGGAATTGCTGGGATTGAAGTGCTCCATTTCATGGGTTTAAAAATACCAACTTTATAGGTCTGTGGTGAGCATTAGTGAGATGGTGTGCGGACCCCTCCTGGCACAGACTTGGGGTTAGTCTTCTCCTCCCCCACCGGTTTCCAGAAAGATCGAAAGCTTTGCCCTGGCTGGGAGGCCACTTCCTCAGCCTCTCTCTGGAAAGTACTGTCTAATGGCTTTGCTAATGGATCTTTCAGTCCTGGTCCTATGTGCCTGACTCACTTGTTTGGCATCTTCTTTACAGAATCAAAAAAAAAAAAAAAGCTCTTCTGTTTTTTCTAAGAACCAACAGCAGCTTTACCCCTCTGTACTTGCCATAGCTGAACCCCATCCCCTGGGGAAATCAAGTGAAAGCGGTTCTCTCTAAGTGGGAGCACTTTCAAAGTGAGACGATATGCAAATCAGCACGGAGCGTGAGCCAGCTGATGATTTACCAAGCACTGCCCGGTGTGTGGTGGATGGAATGACCTGTCTCAAGGCCTCTCCCTGCATCCACGCACCCTTGTAGTGGCTGCCTCATGGCCCCTGTAGTTCCACACCCTGGCTTTGGGACTTGATCATGCTCAATGGAAAGTGACAAGGGCCAGAGGAAGCCTTCAGGGCTTCATATGGCTCTTCCTTCCTGATCAGAAGGATTCTACCAGGGTGGCAGCTATAGAACCGCCTCAGCTGACCCCACACCTCAGAGCTCTCCAGCCCTGACTGCCACCCTGCCATGCCATGCCTGGATCATCAGACTCACAAAAGAATCTTAAAGATTGGGTGACACCATCGCATTTAAGCATGGTTCATTGTGAAGCATATCTTGCCTGACCACGATGTGTAGTCCATGTGTCAAAAGAAAATGGGAACCAGGAGCCCGTGGATCATGCCTGTCATCCTAGCTACTCAGGAGGCTGAAATGTGAGGATCTCGGATCAAAGCCAGCCCAGGCAGGAAAGTCTGTGAGACTCTTATGTCCAATGAACCACCAGAAAACCGGAAGTGGCAATGGGGCTCAAGGGGTAGAGTGCTAGCCTTGAGCAAAAGAGCTCAGGGATAGTGGCTCAGGCCTCAAGTTCAAGCCCCATGACTGACAAAAAAAGGCAGGGAATAAAATGGAGGGGAGGAAACAGGCAAGTCTTTCCACAGCTCCCTGATTTGGGTTCTGGATGTGCAGATGGTTCCAAACTACCTGGGCTTGGACCACCCTCCTTCCCAGGCTGGACGCCAGACAGACAGACTCTGGAAAGCACAGCAGGTGCGTGTGCACACTGTGCACACCGAGGGGGAGCTGACCTAACATCAGGCAAATGAGAACTTGTTATCTGGAATTCATTTTCCATCATGTGGGTTTTTTAAATGGGCAAATGGGACACTAGGTCACCTGGTATCTGGCTGGTACCATGTATCCCATACTCCCCCAGGGCAAGGCTCCTGATGCTCTCCTCCCTTGCTTATAAAGTGGCTGATGTGCAGGAAGTGTGGATAAAATCCTTGTTGAGTGGATAAATGAACTCCACTCTGATACAGGTCTAATAATGCCACTGTGGAGTCATGAGAGACTGACCCTAAGAATGCTGGATGGTCCGCCCAGTGCTCCAGGATGAGGGGAATGGAAGAGAGACTGAAAACAAGCTGGTCCTACTGCTGGCTGTAGGCTGCTCCTACCCAGCGCTGCTCGAGCCACAGTGAGGAGGCTGTGCTTGTGGATGGCAGCTTAGGAGAAGACTGGTCAGAGACCTTGTCAAGACACCTCTATGTGCTCCTTCCTTGACACAGGATAGGAACGGCACTCTGGGTGTGCTTGAGCCTTCCCTAGGCTTTGCTGCCATTTATCATGGATTCAAACGCCATTTCTCAATACTCATGTCTCTATGAAAAGTGAGACAAGCCCATGTGTCAGTGACACAGGAGAGAGGATTTATATTCAGTATGCAAACACCTGGGCAGAGTCCCAATCAGGCAGTGTCTCTCCCTGAGCCCCAGAGCCCCAACGGCCAGCTGAGGCCCTCTCCACCCTCACCACACCACAGTTCCCCCTCGAGGCCTCTCCTGCCAAGAAGAACAGACTACGCCCATGTCATCTGACAGCTCTGCCTCATGGGAGAGAAAGGATGGAGACTCTCCAGAGAGAACAAAACAAATGGATGAGAATCTACACCGTGGCTCGAGGCTCCATTCTTCCCACAAACACATTTCAGTGACTGCCAAGAACCCTGTCCTGCACACTCCAGGGAGTGTGTGTATGTGTGTGTGTGTGTTCAAAGTTCTGTATTGCTCTTGCAGGCTCTCAAAGTGAGCACTCAGATCTGATTTGGAGGAAGAGTAAGAGGGGGGCCTTAAACTCAGGACCACTGTGCTTTCCCTTAGCTTTTTTTTTCTTAAGACTGGCCACTTAAGCCACAGCTTCACTTCTATCTCTTTTTTTGCTGATTGACTGGAAATAAGAGTCTCACAGACTTTCCTGCCCAGGCTGGCTTCTTAGAATCATGATCCTCAGATCTCAGTTTCCTGAGTAGCTAAGATTATAGGCATAGTGACAGCTGATTCTTAAAAAAAAAAAAAAAAAAAAACAAAGTAGGATCACAACACAGATAAAATTCTCCAGGTCTGCTTGGCACCAGAGACTCATGCCTATAATCCTAGCCACACAGGAGGCTGAGATCTGAGGATCGTGGTTCAAAGCCAGACCGGGCAGGAAAGTGTGTGAGACTCTAATCTCCAATAAACTACTCAGAAAAAGCCAGAAGTGGTGCTGTGGCTCAAGTGATAGAGCTACTAGCCTTGAGCACAAAGAGGCTCAGGGACAGTGCCCAGGCCTTGAGTTCAAGCCCCAGGACTGGAAAAGAAAAAAGTTTCCTAGTAGTCTCTACCTAACTCGAAGCCAAAGCCAAAGGTCCTTCTGCGCCCCCAAGGTCTGCGTGCCCTCTACACAGCCTATCTGCTCAGCCTTCCCATCTCTGACCCTTTTTATAGCCCACACTATAGGACCTGCCTCAGGATTATTGTACTTTATGGTTTATCTAACAAGTTGCTACAGGGTTTCCTCTGCTCCCTGAGTCCCTTCAGGTTGTGACCAAGTCCCACCTTAGAAGCCAAGGCCTTGAAGACTGAAAATGTCTCCTCCAAAATGTACATATTATCCAAGCAATCGTGTTGTTCATGTGGTCCTGTTAGGAGGTGTGGCCTTGGAAAGTTCCTCAGGCCACAGGGGCTCCTTCCTGGTGAGTGGAGTTAGCCACCCTTACAAAAGGGCCTGGTGGGGAGAAT